ATTTTTAGTTGCTTTTTCATATTTTTTGAAGCTAATGGAGTTTTAATCATTAGTTACGCTGTTTTATATATAGGTCTTGATTATTATTTTGATAAGGATTTTATGCTCGTAAAAGTAAACATGTGCATTTTAATATTTTAGCAGAATACATGTGGTCTTTAAAAAAAATTTAAAAGAACTGTAGCATCAATATTGTACCTATAAAATTACCTTTAGCTGTAAAATTAAAATATTTAAGATTAAATATTTTCAGTTAATGAAATTAAGTATTTTATCTTTTAAGTTATTGTATCAAATATAATGTAAGAAAGCAAAGAAATCATCAGAAGGTATTTGGTGATAAATGTAGCTTATCGTAATTGAAGTGCATGTTGGGTGACATTTCATGGTTAATTTGGGGAAATAAGTTTCAGAATGTATCGAAACATCAGGATGCTATTTTCACATTGTCCTTATCCGAAGAAAACCATGTAACCTAAATATATGGCAGAAAGAAGAGATTTTTTAAAAAATGAATCATACAATATGCCACATATTATTTCAATATGTTATTCTTAAACAAAGCATATTTCAAAGTTTTTAAAATGCCACTGAACGTTCAGTAATTCTTTCAGTTGTGGAAAAAAAAGAAATATCGTAAATTAAACCCCATTTAATTCTTTATTTAGTTACTAAAAATATACTTTTACTCAGGTTCGGTTTACTTCGGTAAAATATGTTCCAGAAACAAAATATTTAAAATCTATCGTCCTACATAGTTCGATATATCTCTATATATATACCCTTTATCTATAAATAGAATGTCAGCCGACAACATTGGTGCAGGGAAATTACTAAAAGGAAGTTAGCGTAATTTTTCTGTCGCACTGTAATGTTTAATACCATTATTTACTCTTTACTAATATTATATACTTTTACAATGCGCATGCGCAATTTTAACTTATTTTATTTATTCACAATTAAAAAACTTCCCGATTGTATTAAAATATCGAATTATTTATATTTAGTTTGTTCGCACGAAAAAAAGAATAAATCGTGAGTACTGTATTCTTGATCGTAATATTTATTTTTCATATTTTTTAAGCAATTTTGATCATAAAAAAAATCTTCTTTAAATTTTTTAATAGCTTAAAACAGCATCTTCATTGCATGGAGAGTAAAATTTTCTATAGCAATTTACCGGAAAACCCGGGAAATTTTTAAACAGCTACAGGCCCTCACCCGAGTTAAAAGCGCGGATTTCCATTTAACTCTGAAGGGGCATAAATATACTCATTTGGCATTCTAAAGCTGCTCTTCCGGATGTGACGTCAGAACAGAGCATGCGCACTTTAATGTCTTTGCTTTTTTTCCTTGTTCTCCTCTCTATCGCTGGCTCGCTGCCAGTGGATTAGGAACCAATTTCTGGTGTTTCAGCTGATCGATTATATTTGTTCTCTGAATGAAGTAATCAAGAAAGACCGAGTAATTTCTGCGTTTAGTGAAAAGTTTTAGCGCCGATCTGTGCTAGACACTGAACCTTTAGATTCATTTCGTATTCTTTAATTTCAAAATGTTTCACTCTTTTCAACTTAAAGCAAATATTAGTTTGATTATTTGTTCAAGTAAATGAAGGTTCTACGTATAAAGTATATAATATAGGTCTATAAAGTACAGAATTTTTTATTTTACTCCTTTTGTTCTTTAATTTCAAGATGTTTCAATCTTTTCTATTTAAGCAATTATTAATTTGATTATTTATTCAGGTAAATGATTATTCTACGGAAAAAATATATAATATAGGTCATAGATCTATGTGGAAAGTATATTTTTTGATCTACTCCTTTTTATTAATTCTCAGATGGAGTCTCCTAAGATTACAAACACCAATTCATCTGATACGGCAGTCATGTAAGTATATTTATTGTGTTACATTAATTTTTTTCATTATTTTAATTCTAAGCAATGCGCCTAATCGTCTTTATTTATTTCAGGAAGATCAAACGCAAGATTAAAAACCATGATAGATGTGCTTACTGTAAGGCAGTCAGATCAGCAAATCCACAATTGAAATTTTTTCGTTTCCCCCAAAATGCTGCAATGTAAGTATCAGAATGTATAAAATTATTATAACATCTATATTAAAATACATTGAGCCGCTTAATCTATACGTAGAATAATTTTTAAACTTCTTTAAAGCAGTTTTTGGCAAGTTAAGCTTGGAATTTAATTCCAGAAATTCCTTACTGGGTGCGAAATTAAAATCAAGTAATGATGTGTATGCATGTCGAATGCAGAGCAAGCGCATAATTGCCAATATTTAAAGTGGTAGTGAAATTGGGGCTTCCTATTTATTACTCGAATTTCTAAATTTAATTTAAAGTTATTTTGATCACATCTCTACTACAAGTAGATAAATATTTATATAGGTGCATGATAATTATATGTTGTTATTTTTGAACCCTTAACATAATTGAAATGATATTTCTGCTTGTTATTGAGATTCAATTTTCATTTTACTACCACTGGACAAAATCCTCCTCCAGAAGATTAAAGGTTGGCAGTAAGTATACTAATGTTTGATGTATACTTGTTAACTTTATGAAAAACTTTCCAATATGTTTCCTTTGTGTGTGTATATATTACACACAAACAATGAGGAAGAATAAAATAAAATAGATTGACTTAAAATGGGAAAACGTAAAGGTCTTCATCAGGACATATCAATTACGATAAATGCGATATTTCTGAATAAAGAATAATTATCCTGAGATAAAAATTACTTTTCATAATGTGTCTATATCGCCAAAAAAATAAATATGCAGTTGCAGATAAGTTTGAGATAAAAGAAAGCATAAAATAAACTTACCGAAGTGGGGCAAAAGTAAAAAATGTCATAAAGATAGATATAGTAATTTAACCTTTAACAAAATTCGCTAAGAAGTAAAGAATAAAAACAGTGCTTATAGCTTAAATAGTACAAAATTTAAAAAAAAATATTTGGTGAAAAAAAATATGAAACGAATTAGATATCAGTGCTGCCGTCTATGAGAAAAATCTAGTTATTAAAATTTATTTGAAAACATAATTTTGAACCCAATCCAGAAGACAAGGGAACTCATTGATCAAGTATTGGGAGAAGTTTGCCCTAGTGGAGGACTTTTTGGTGAAACTAACCCGTATTTACGTTACACGGGGAAGAAAACCACGAAAACCTCCCATGCTTAGCATGACAATAAGGGGACTCAAACCCATGATCCGTCTACCACTGAGGATATTTTATGTCAGCACTGTGGTCCGTGCAAGCTAGTTGTAGAATTCGTACCGACCAGCTATCAATGGGATTTGAACCCGGTTCACCTCTTTGGAAGGCGAACGCTTTATCCCTTCTTCCGATTATCTTAATGTTTTTTTTTTATTTCTGAGAAAAAGATTAAATAAGATAATAATTTAGTTTTTAAATATTAGAAAATATGTTACGCATATTTCAGCATGACAATAATAATTTTTCGTTTCTCTAAGGAGCAAAAAATGGATAAAAGCTACCAAGCTTACATCTCTGTTTAACATTCCATGTGAGAAGTTAGCTCTAAGATATAGATTATGTTCAAAACATTTTAAAGATGATGACTATGCCACAACTAAATTCCATAAACTTCATCCAACTGCAGTGCCTTCATTACTCCAAGATGGTAAGAAATATTCTGTATTTTTTTTCGCTTCCTTTTTTATAATTGTTATTTCTTTTCTCTTCCCCATCAAATACATACGAAAAAAGAAAACTGGATATTTATGTTCAACTAATTATTCTTTTATAACAAATATTTTAAACTATAAAATGCTAGTTAATTTTGAGGTATATGTTACAGCTAATGTACCGACTTTTAAGCAGTTGAAATTTAATGTTAGTTGAGCCATTTTTTGTTAATTTCTTGCATTTTTTTTTTTTCAAACTTCCAATTTGTTCGAAAGTTATTATTATAATTTTAACTGCTTTTTTCGTGAATTTTTCCCACTTTAAATATTGTTTATTTTTAATTTTTTTTGAAAAAATATTTTTTTAGTTCGAAAGACATAAACCGTAATGTTTATATTGAAATTTTTAGACATAAAAAAATTTATCGCATGTCAAATAAAACCGTTCCCTATTTTTCATTATAAACACTTTCCCTGTTTTTGTTGTTGTTATTATTGGTCTTGTTAATGAGTAAAATTTCTGCCCACGTATTTCTTTTCATTGAGTCTCACAATCTTAGCCTATTTATTTTTTTAAGTATAGATGATGATTTTTCAAACCCAGGTAATCCTTCATTTTGTAACAATCAACATACTGACAAAATGTTCTTACAATGTTCTACTATTGTACATTTTGTTGATAAAATGCTTTTTTTGTTGTTGTTATTATTGGTCTCGTTAATGAGTGAAATTACTTCCCACTTATTTCTTTTCCTTGAGTCCCACAATCTGTGTATTCCTTAGCCTATTTATTTTTTTAAGTACAGATGATAATTTTTCAAACCCAGGTAATCCTTCATTTTGTAACAATCAACATACTGACAAAATGTTCTTACAATGTTCTACAATTGTATATTTTGTTGATAAAATGTTTTTTTGTTTGTTTGTTATTATTGGTCTCGTTAATGAGTAAAATTACTTCCCGCGTATTTCTTTTCCTTGAGTCCCACAAACTGTGTATTCCTTAGCCTTTTTATTTTTTTAAGTACAGATGATAATTTTTCAAACTTAGGTAATCCTTCATTTTGTAACAATTAACATACTGACAAAATGTTCTACAATTGTATATTTTGTTGTTAAAATGTTTTTTTTCTTTTTTTCGTTTCTGTGGAAAATATTGCCTTTTCAGGAAACTCTGTTGCATCACAGTTTTTTTGTAATTTTAATGCATTCAGTTCAGATTAGCTTAATAACACCGAGAAAACATCTTATTGCTACTTTCAAAAAGCTATACCGTCACTTTCATCTCCAGCTGCTGAAACGGGAAGTCACGTGATTTTTAGGAACTGACGTCACTCGAGCCTATCTGCCGTTTGTTTACAATCGCCTTGCTCTTAATCTTCTTTCAAAAGTATTTCAGACTATAGATTAACATGCCATTGCCAAGATATAGATACTGTGTAGTGCCTATGTGCACAAATACAACGACAACAGCTCCTGAATTAACATTTTTCGATGTGCCTAGAAAAGATGTTGAAAGAAAAAAATGGTGCCTTGCTATGAAACGGGATGATAAAAGAAACCCCGTTTTGTCTTCAACATCTGTCCGAAACGTTTGCGAAGATCATTTCGATGTAAGTATGTTTTACTTATTAACCTTTTCTAAAAGTGTTTGGAATGAATATTTTTAGTTTACTTAATAATTTCTTTTTTATTTATTTTAAATAAAATTTAAGTTATATTTGATTTTTTAACATGTTCTTCAAAAATATTACATTGCATGTTAATTTTTCAGTTACAGTTAATTTTTCATTAACAGTTAATTTTCTTAACAGTTATTTTTCATTAACGAATTTGAATTTTATTTTTATTACTTATCTTTGTTACTCCTGCTACGAAAATATTCTGTCAATTATTTCTAATGTATTCGTTAAAAAAAATTTTTCTGTTTATTTTATTCTTTTTTTAGTTAATTTCAGCTTTTATTACTTAAGAAAAACAATTATAGAAAATTAAATATTGTATCAATATGCACTATATAGTGATATATTTGTTGTACGTAGGAGACTATATAAAAGTTAGTTTAAGGTAAATTAGTTAATAATTTATGTTTTAATGATTTTTGCACATTATTATATGTTTTTGTAAAGTTACGTTTTTTTTAAATGAAAATTTAACTTAGTTATATTACACATAATAGCCTTCAAGGTATTATATCATCTACATATTATTTTTAAAAAATAATATTTTTAGATTTTAAGAAGGTCAGAAACTAAAATTGCTGACTTTTTTTTCAGCTTCAACTTGATACTGAAAATTATCTTCAGCATAAATTGCAAGGAACAAAACTTAGATTGAAAAAAGGAATTGTACCTCATATTTTTACTTGCCAGATAGATAAAACTTCTGCATCAGGTTTTACATTTATAATTATTTCGCATTGTTGCATACGTGCACTTTATTCTTGCACTTTGCAAATATTCATTCTATTTTTAAAACTGATTTTAAGATATGTTTATAAACAAATTGTTTTTACTAAAAGAATTTGTTAAATATTTTTGCAAAATTTGATGTAAATAATTAACCTAAATAGCAGTTTATTATTTTTTGGTTTTCTGCACTCACATCAGATTTTATAACTGTCCTTGAACAGCCGACCCAATTTTGAGTTTATGACTACCTATGTCCATCTCTGTAGCTTTGTAATTTTGAACCCAATTCAGATGACAAGGGAACTCCTGGATCAAGTATTGAGAGAAAATTGCCTTCGTAGAGGACTTTTTATTGGAACTAACCCTCATTTGCGTTACATGGGAAGGAGAACCACGAAAATCTCTCCCGGTTAGCCTGACGGCAAGAGGACTCTAACTCACGATCCGTCTACCACTGATGATATTTTACGACAGCATTGAGGTCGGTGCGAGCCAGGTGCGGAATTCGTATTGACCAGCCGTTGCAAGGATTTGAACCCGGTTCACCTCAGTGAAAGGCGAACATTAAATGCCTTGAGCAACCACGTCTTACTTATACTGCCAGGATCATAATACCAATACACAAAGCAAAGTGTTATTTTTGGTAATAATACACCTCCTGCTCGCAACGCTCACCAACCTCATTCGCCATTGTTTTTTTCGTTCTAAAACAATTACAAATATTTTTTTTTGACATGAAAGCATTTTGTCAATGACATATATAAATATTGTAGGTAATTTTATATGTGAAACATTTTGTTGATATTATGTTAATCGCAACGAAATGAATGATTACCTGGTTTTAAAAAATAATCAATCAATCAACTGTATTTTAAAAAAATCTATCAAAAGAATACAAATTAAATGTGACTCAGTAATAAATGAATGACAAGTAATTTTACTCGTTAACAAGACTAATAGCATTATAACAGTTCAATTTGGTAAGTTTTTTTGAATTTTTTTTAAAATTTTATCTTTGTTTAATCTTTTATATTTGTTAAAAGTAATAATAAATGTCAATAATAAATGTTAAGATTTACACTTGAAGAAATCTAATCTCTCACTGTCTTATATTTTAGTATATTTATAAATTTTTTTTCGCCTGTTACTTTCGACATCAAGCGCGAGTTTATAAAATAAAAAATTCTTGAGAGAGATAAATTATTCTCCAACAATAGATAAGCAGTCATTTTTAAAGCAAATGGAAAAAAAAAACACTACAACGACGCTTAAAATTGCAATAATTGTCGAACAAATTATAATTTAAAAAAAAAAAAACTCCTGTTAAGTTCATAAAAAAATATGGTTCTTTTAGCGCGTTAAATTGCTATACAATTCTTTTGCTGCATTTCAACGGGCTGCAGATCGACTAACCCGATTTTCTTATTATTAGCCTAACAGTTAATAATTTTCGAACAAATAAATGAATTTTAATTTTATTACATCCTATACTCCTTGTACATTTGTCTAAAACACCATCGTAATTTAAAGTGTGTAAGTCTTATAATTTCCGGGCAGCAAAACAAAATGTAACGTAAATTTGAACTCCCAAAATAACGCCATTTACGATTTTTTTAATATAAAGAGATGTCCACAGTGTGTGTTTAAGAAAATGTACACAGCAAAAAATGTCCCAATGCTTTGGCTGTATCCATTTTTTTTTTAAACATGCATTTTAACCTACGTCCTGAATTGATGGTAAGAATGTAACAAATACATTCCTCCACTATTCGATATTAGTCCTTTTGCCGAATATTCGGTTAGCTCAATAATTGGCCAAATATTCGGCCGATTATTCGGCAAAGTATTTTTCGTCTAAGTGACATATTTTACTATACATTATTAGAAATTGTTTTTACACATATTTGTTACGTTCTAAAACTTGTTAATTTATGTTTAAATGGAGAAGCGAAGTTTGAAGAATTGAAACTAGATTACTTTATGCTAAACCATGACTTTTGTATTAGTGATTTTTTTTTTTTTTAAATTTTATTCAGGCAAGTCAACTTTGTAGCTTTTTCAACACTTAATGTTTCAAAAATTGAGAACTTTTTTGTTATTTGTTTCTTTTTGCTAGTTTTTCGGTATTAAACTATAGTGCAGCATTTTAACGGAGCGTTTCTGATAGCGTATTTTTTTGTTCTTACTTTTTACTGTGCGGTAAGACAGATAACCGGTAACATAGAAAACTGAGATTTTTAACGTTAAAATTATATTTCAGAGCTAAGAACAAATTTTTTTTTCTGTTTCTCGTTAGATTTTTTATGAATGTTTCTTTTTATCAGCGTTTTTTTTTTTATTGTGAAAACACTTTTTAAAGATCGTATCTAATGAACGTTATTTTTTTATGGTCACTTATTTTTCCCAAAAATTCAACAATGTGAAATAGTTAAATTGAGATTTTCAGCGTTAACTCTTTCTTTTAAAAATTAAGAAATGTTTTTTTTTATTTTTAAGTTTCTATCTAGCTTTTTCTTTTTTAAAAAAGTTTTGTTTTTATTAGAACTTCTATTATGACGCGGTAATTAAGAAGGTTTTCATTAGACTTGAAACTATATTTTTTTCTTAAAAATACTGGAAATGTTTTGCTTTAAAATTTTCTCTCAAAAATTGAGACCAATTTTTATTTTTTCTATTTTGCTTTTCTACATAATCTATTTTTTTTCTATGTTTTTTTTTTCTTATCGGCCTAATTTATGATAACGCTGCATTTTTAAAAGCGTTTCTGATAGTCAATATCAATTTTAACGTTTTTTTTAATAAAACATTACGCTTGTTTGTAAAAAAATTTAGGAATCAGCTGCTTTTGCTGATATTGATTAGAGATCCTTGATTAGTTGCTGTACTTTTGTCAATCTCTCTTTTGGCTTCTGTAAACTCAGCGTCTCTTATTTTGGTAAGAATGATTGAGCGGTCTTCTATTTAAATACTATTGCTTCAATGAAGAACCATTGGTGTACGCACAGTCAGTCATGATTGGTAGCTTAGAGGAATTCCTTAAAATTTTAAAATATTTAAAACTATTCGTATTTTATGGAAAATAATAAATTTAAGAAGAGCATTTAAAAAAAATCAAGCACTTGCCTTGGAAAAACTAAACATACTAGTTATGTTTTAAGCCTCAACGCTCGTAATAAACAACTTATTCAAGTTGGAATGGTAAAACGTGACAAAGTTTGATGATCAATAACAGTATTTATTGAATGAAATATACTGCTTGTTTTGTCGTTAAATATAAACATTACAGTTGTAGACTACTACTGAACATTAGCATCGAAGTTATTTAAACAACAGTATTGTAGTGATTTAAACTCGATGGAATTTGGAACGAACCCACAGTCATTTACCACTGCTTTTGTCTTTCTACCAGACTCATCTCTTTTTTTCTCTGACAAGCAGATTTTCATGACAAGATTTAAAGATGTTGTCGCCTTAACCCCTTCCTTCTCGCTCCCGTGAAAATGACAGGGTGAGGTTTCGCCCTCTATTTCTCGCTCCCGTGAAATTTTCGGGCTGGAGTGTTCAGTAGAAACGAGCCAATAAAAATAATTAACTTCTTTTTCCCGGAAAACATTTTATTTCTCATTTTACACACCAGATGGCAGTACCAGGATATTCTTAAGGTAATTGTAGATAGTTTGTTTTAAACTAGATGTCAGCACTAATCAAATACGCGTATTAGGCAAAATAGGCACTTTTACGACCGTTTTCTTTAAAATTAACCGATAGTTAAGGGGTTAAAATATAACTTTCAGTCAACAATTTCTTTTTTTTCGAAGGCTCTGTAGTCGCATGAAATGATGCTTATTTTGCGAATAATATGCTATTTTCATGACTGTTCTGAGTTTGCAACAGTTACTTATGACTTTTAGATCAAGTTAAGCTTAGCTTTAGCCAGCGCCTTCTATGTTTATTCTGAAAATGACGCAAAACGTCAGTAGAGAACAGCCATAGTTTTTTGAGAAATTGAAAAGCATCTGTGGTCTAATTTTTTAATATTGAAAATTTACTGTAATGCGGCACTATCTAGGTTCATGCAAATTTGCATAAAAATGGGAATAAGCATTGATTTTAGTAATTTTCATCTAGATGGAAAAGTATCGCCTTGGCGATTTTAAAAAAAAATAATAATAATAACTTTTAGAATATATTTCTTATTTGTTCGTTCTATGGCCCAGTTAATTCTTTACAGCAAGATGGCTTATACAGCATAAAATTTTAGTTTTGTTGCAAGCGTAACGCATTTAAATTGTGGCTTTTTTATTTTCCTTGGCGAAAGATGTTACCATGTTAACAATTTTCCTAACCCATAAAATATTTCCAATAACCTTATCCCTATTGGTGCCATAAATAATTTCAGCAAAATGCAGCATTACTAATAATTTGGTTTTTAATAATAATATTAGAAAAGTAATTAAAATGGGGTGATTTTGCAATTGCGATGCATTTTAAAAATTGATTTAAAAATTTTTCTCAAATTTATTCACAAATAAACCTTCATTTAGGCCCTGTCAGAATGAAGTTGAGAAAGTCGAAATATTTATCGTTGGAAGAGAATTCTCCAATTTCCTGCACCTTATTGCCTAGAAGAAAGGCAAAAGATATCAACAGGTAACATTTTGAAGTATTTTATCTATGAATGCTGTTTTCAATTGATAATTCTATTTCATAATTATGCTAATGTCTCCTTAACAGAGATGGTAATCTTGTGAGCCTGGACTTTGAAACTTAATTAATGAATAGTCTGTCTCATGGAATAGAGAGGTTAAAAGAACTTAGATTATTTCTTATAAGTTATTTGAGAATAAGATTTCACTAACAGAGGTTGCTTCTGTTCTCTGCGCTTACATTTGTTTATTTACTGGTTTATCTCTAATTTATATTTTTACTGGATAGGAAGCAAGATTCCTATTGACTTTACTGTAATAAAGCAAGAAATATTACTTTTAAAAATATTTTACCCCGATGATAACGACTAACTTTTAACGATTCATTTTATCAGGTGGGTCATCATGGCTTTCAAGAAGTTAAATCTTGCATTATGTTGAAAAGTTTTTCTCCGGTTAAGTTTTTTAATTTTCTCTTTTCTAAGTTAACCGCTAGAGGTGCTATAATCACCATTGAACTAATCAGGAAACAGTTTCCAATGACGTAACTAAAATTACTTTTAAAAATATTTTACTTCGATGATAACGACTAACTTTTAACGATTCATTTTATCAGGTGGGTCATCATGGCTTACAAGAAGTTAAATCTTGCATTATGTTGAAAAGTTTTTCTCCGGTTAAGTTTTTTAATTTTCTCTTTTCCACGTTAGCCGCTCGAGGTGCTATAATCACCATTGAACTAATCAGGAAACAGTTTCCAATGACATAACTAAAATTACTTTTAAAAATATTTTACCTCGATGATAACGACTAACTTTTAACGATTCATTTTATCAGGTGGGTCATCATGGTTTTCAAGAAGTTAAATCTTGCATTATGTTGAAAAGTTTTTCTCCGGTTAAGTTTTTTAATTTTCTCTTTTCCAAGTTAACCGCTAGAGGTGCTATAATCACCATTGAACTAATCAGGAAACAGTATCCAATGACGTAACTAAAATTACTTTTAAAAATATTTTACCCCGATGATAACGACTATTTTACCCAATGACATTATATAATTCTTAACAATCATAAAATAAGTTTACCATGCAATGCATTCTGGGTTATTATGTATGGTATAGGAATTTAAGCTCTCACACAAATCGTCGGAAGCATCCTTGATTTTACCTATATTCTTATGTTTAGGTTCTATATATGTTAAACTTAGACTTAAAGGTTGGGTAGCTCCAAAGAGCAGAGCACATCGACCTGAGGTCTATTGTACCCAAACCCTAAATCATGATAACAACAAAGCTTTATAGCTGAAATGAAGTTCAGCAAACACCTGACAGGAACGTCTTGCAGTTCCCAGGCCTTAATGCAATGTTCCCCTAAATGCTCAAATCTTTGAGCAGAATAGACCTCACAATCACAAAGTATATGTCGTGAAGTTTCCTCCTCAATATGACAACCTCGACAAAGAGAATCAGATTCAATACCCGTTATGTATAGGTGTCTCCTGAGGGTGCAGTGTCCAGTGAGAAGACCAATGATCTTCCTCAAACAGTTCCTGTTTAGCATAAGGAGCTCTTTTTGACGTACACTACGACCGTCACGATTCAGCTCTTTAGCTTGTCTGACCATCCGAGTTGCGCCATTGCTCATAAGCAAATTTGCCATCGAGCTTAATATAGATGCCGTGAATGATGTGGGAGAGATTCCCAAGCCTGGTTCAGGGCCCCAGCAAATCGCACTGGAACCAGCCCGTGCTACTTCGTCAGCCAGCTCATTTCCAAGAATGGCCATATGTCCAGGTACCCAATGTAGGTATAACTTGTTATGAGTAGAAAGGTCACAGAGGACTGAGAAGCACTCCCCACAAGTGAAGAGGTTAATTTACACCTTGATAGTGATAGGAGAGCAGCCTTACTGTCAAAACAGATGTGTATAGGCATATTTAGATATCCTCTGTCTAAGCATATCCTGCAGCACAAGATAATAGCATAGATCCAACATGAAAAACAGTGGCATAACTATCTAGAGGAAAGTGAAGTTTGGTACTTCACTTTCATCATTATAGCAGTAAATTCTAGCCCCTGATTTAAGATCAAACCTTGAAACATCGGCTTACCATACTAGACATTTGCCTTTAACCCACAGAGAAGATTTAAGCCATTCTTCTCTAGTAGGAAAATGAATCTTGAAGAGCTTATGAAAAGCATATCTTAGTATATAGACGTATAATCACTAGGTATGATAAAAGAGGGGATATCCGACACCTGCGAAACAAGGTGGCCTCATGACAAGTGCTTGGAATATTCCTTCCATTAGCCAAGGTACACAAGACGCTTAATATTAGTTTGAACTTCAACTTCAATGCGTAGATTCAACGGGAGAAGCCTAAGTAAGCTCTCAAGAGCAGCTGTAGGAATGGTCCTGAGAAAGCCTGACAAGGCTACGCAGACCATTTTTGTAGTCTATTAAGACTAGACATAATAGAGTTCATCCTAGTCCTAGCCCACCATACAATAGCGCCATATGTAATAATAAGACTAATAATTATTGAGTACATCCAGTAAACTATCTTGGATAATCCCCAGGTTTTACCAATAGCATTTATGCAAGACCAGAAAATCTTCTTGTCCCTGCGGATACAATATTCTAGATGATAACACCAGTTTAGTTTGGAGTCATAATAAACCTCGAGAAATTTGACTTTCTCAGTGATTTCCAACCTATAGTCTAGGTAATACACATCACCTAGATTAAAACGCCTTTTTGTGGTGAAGGCCACAAGACTTATCTTGGAAGAGTTAATAGATAAGCCAGAATCAGAGCACAATCTAACTACTTCTAGAAGTGCAATATTCATGATTTCAGAGACTGTTTTGTCACACTTGCCTCTGACAACAATGACACCATCATCAGCATACCTAACATAGGGAATGCCAAGATTAGTTTACCGAACTAACAAAGAGTCCATAACCATACACCATAGGATGGGGAACAAAACCCCTCCCTGAGGTAGCATGAACTCTCATGCTTGTGCCCAGTAATGAGGAACAAACATATTTGGAGGACAGCAAATTAGCTATTCGCCTGGTGATGGCCGAATTGATACCTCTGGTTTTAAGTGCATTGATGATAGTCTTAACAGGAACTTTGTCAAAAGCACCTTCGTTATCAATAAATACAGCCAGAGTAATCTATTTATCTGAGAGCGTTTTCTCAAGCATGAAGGAGAGCTCATATAGAGCAGAGTTTGTTAACTTTCCAGGTTGATAAACATGCTGTGAGGAGGGCCAAGTCTCTAGAATAGCTGTCAATAAACTTTTGAATGGCTTTCTTTCAACAGACAGGAGATGAGGCTAATTGGTTTAAATGATTTAGCCTCAAAGTAATTTTCATTACCAAGTTTTGGGATGAAAATTACCCTGGTATTTCTCCAAGAGTGAGGTATACACCCAAAGGCTATAGAGGCTCAAAAAATCCTTCATAGAATAGGGGCTTATATGCAAAAACCCCTTAATAAGCATTATAGGCATGATGTCATCCATACCTGGTGACTTAAAGGGCTTAAAAAATTTAATAGCCCATACGATTTTTTCATAGGTGATTACCATCTTGGCAGCCTCCCAGTCATTTTAACTGCAAGTAGTTGTTGGATTATTGTATAGATATTCATTCTCTACAGGATGAGATTCAGGGAAGTGGGCTTTAAGTAAGTACCAAGAGCCTCTTCCCCTGACTTACTATATTTTCCGTTCGTAAGACGTATAGCATTAAGGTTGCAACTATAATCTTTTGTAAGGATTTTTGCAACCTTGCGGTGGCAGAAATTGTAAAATTGTATTAATACTATCGCAGAAAGTCTGCCAAGAGCGACGTTTAGCAGCTCTAAAAGCCTTATTACAGATAGTTAGAGCGTTTCGGTAGGACTGCCAATCCCCAGTTTTCTTTGCCTTGTTAAAGAGCTTCCTACATTTCTTACGTAATTTACTAAACTCAGCACCTTCCAAGGAACACGTCTTGGAACATGCTGTCAAGGAACCTGCCTTGGGAGCTAGTGAAAGTAACATTACAAGAAATATGATATGAATCGAGTATGATCTGTTGCACTTGGTCAGCAGTCCACTCCACATCCTTATAATTACCAGAGAGGTTTCCCATTTTCCTCCCCAGTGCTTTCCTGAAGGAACCTCAATCAGCTGTTCTGGGGATCCTCCTTGACCATCAGTCCAGTGAGGCCTTTAATAGAAAAGGTAATTAGTTGGTGGTCTGAAACAGTAACTGCATCAGATACCTTCCAATCAGTAATGTAATATACAGAAACGGTATTACATAAATTAAGGTCATGATTTCCATTCTGTTACACCTACAAAAGATGGGTTCATTGCCTTTATTAAGGACGTAAGTTATAAAATAAAATATGCTTCATTAATACATCCCCCCGCTGGTTTCTATCACTGCTACCCACACTGTGTGGTGAGCATTTGCAGCACAGCCGAAGAAGAGTTTGCTGCTAGAACTACAGAGACCGATTATTGCTTTAGCAACATCAACCAGTGGGTCTTTCTCCTCATAAGGGAGATAGATAGAAACAATGACAAACTCAGAAACTATTTCTTTGTCATAGAATTTTAACTTAACAGCAACTAAATCCCCATGGAAAAAGTTGACAAGGTTCAGGACATTTTGATTAGACCTGGCCCAGGGAGCGTCGCAACGGGTATCAAGGAAAGTATTATAACCCTTGACGTTGAGGCCCATAATTCTACTCCTTCGGGTCCAAGACTCTTGTATAAGAGCAATATCTAATTCTCCACCATTCAGCCAAAAGGCTGGAGGCAGCAATGCAATGATGGAGATTAATTTGACCAACTTTGATTGTTTATGTGCCGTGATTGGTTAAAGAATAGGAAAACCAGAATGGCAACTACCTATCCTGGTTGGGTTTAAAGGAAAGATCTTCCTTCAACAGCTCTATGGCTTTGCCAAGCATAGATGCTGGTGAATCAGGTCGTAAAGTTATATTCGACCCATAGTCCAACCCCAACTCTGATAAATCAAGAGCTTTAATTGAACTTACCTTGGAATCAGGAGAATTGACCCTCCAGGGTTCCTCCTCCTGATCCATTTCCTCAGACACCTGGCGTTCAGGTACGACAGAGATGACATCCGATGTTGTTGAAGCCTCTGCTGCCCTTTTCTTATTAGGATCATGCATAATTTTGAAGATTCCACAATGTACACCAGTGAAAGCCCCATAATCGGCTCTCACTATGTCCTCAACATCTTCAGGATCGATCAACTTCGAAGATCCATCTAGAGGTGCCCGGTTCCGTAGCATTCTGCGAAACCTTCCAGCTCATTGATTTCAATCCTGGGTTGAGTCACTGAAGCCGTTTTAAGAAGGTGCCCAGATCAGAGAACCTTTCTTTGGTCTTGAAGGCTAAGGCAACTCATCAGCACTTAAAACTCTAAGTGGGATGTCACCCAAGGATTACCCACTCCACCGTGTAATCACTGCACTGGAGAATCAGAGCTCTTCTCAGTAGGTTGTTGCTGAAGATTTCGGGCATCTTTTCGCCAAGGGGAATGGCTTCAATCAGCTCTAAGATCCTCCTGAAAATATTATCAGAATCCCCCAGAGAAAGCTTGTCCGAAGGAAAGTCCTTCTTGACAATAGCAATATTGGTTGATCTGGTAACACGAGCAAAGGAAAACCCAGATTGGAGGCTCCTAATTGGGTCCCCCTCTCCAGTTTGGCTATCCCCACTAAAAGGGACCACTTGTCCGGATTAGGCTCTCCTCCCATTAGCAACATCCTCTCTGGGCTTCTTTCCAAGTCGGGTCGGCACACTGGGGGAGGGCGTTGCATCCGAAGGCTTAGGCCTCCTACGTCGCCACTTCTCTCAGCGGCTTTCAATTTTTTATTCGGTTTCTTTCTCTGGCTCTTGGATAGTCCAGCGGTGCCATGCATACTGCCCCCTGAGTGTTTCTGACCAAAACCAGAGACTCCAACAGAAGCAGGACCTGTGCTTTAGGATACCTTCTCACCAGCATTACTAGCAAGAAGCTGCAAAGCAACGGTATTGGCACTGGGATCACCCAGGGGCTTTCCATGTGCTACCGGAGACTGTAGTGAACTTTTCGAACTGTTGACATTAGTTTCTATCCGCCGAAAAAGTGATTCTAAAGAGAAAGTGGCTCGGAACCACTGAATATTTTGTGAACTTTTTCCATGGGTGAGTGATATTCAAAAAACATAAATAGTGAAACGCATTAGTTAAGGAGTCGTAAGCTGTACAGTGAACTTAAAAGGCGAATGTGAAGTAGATTTATCCGAAATTATCTATCCACACCCTAGGTTTAATATCACTGACTTAAACAATACGTTTTATTACAATACTGGTCATGGACTATTAATCAAAAAGAGTGTAGATGGTGGATGTTATGAATCTATTTACGATATAATCTTGGCTATAACAATATTGTTACCAAAAAATACTTTTTGGCTAACTTTATTTTATATCAAAAATACCGAACGATTAAAAATCAATGCTGTTCAAGGCAATACTGTATATCTCAAAAATTTAAGTCATAAAATATAATTTTTCTGAAATATTTCTTTAGGAAAAAATGTAAGTATATAAAAATTTTTGGAAAAGAAAAATTTCTAAAAACAGTAATTTTTAAAACGTTTTCTTAAAAAGATAATTATTTTTTTAGATATAAAATAAAAGTTATAATACAAGAAATGCACAATATTTTAGTTTTATTTTATTATTTTCTAAACACAAATCTTACGATGTATCTTTTCTTTACAAATTGAAATATCAGAAAATCTGTATACAATTGGCCTAAAATATGGTATATAGAATAGCATGGCCATCGTTTAAGTAAACCATAAATGAAATAGTAATACTCATTCGAGGTATGTGATAGAAACTCTTTGAAATTCTATTTCACAGTTGATTGAGGAGACGTGTTTATGCGGACATTTATCTGAAAATCAGTAATATACAATTCGCCTAAAATATATCTAGAATAGCGTGGACATCGTTTAAGTAAAACGTAAAGGTAATATAATATTTTCCACACACATTCGAGGTTTGTGATTGAAACGTGTTTGATAATTCGATGTAAAATTACACTCATTTGATTATTCGTGTTTGATTATTCGATGTAAAAAAATTCCAATTTATGCTTATTAAGTAATCTTGAACAATCTTTTTCTTTTATATCTGTCCTATCGTCTAATTGCAATAATTCAGGTTTCCGTTCCTTAAAAATTGATTCTAACGCTGCTGTGAAATTTCTACATGTTTGATCCTTAAAGGCAAACTTTGCAAAAACATCTATGAAAGCTAATAAACATTTATGGCAATTATAAAATTTAGAAAGAGACTGCGTATCAACTAAATCTATTCATGTGACCTATTATAACACGATTCCGTTGAAAGCTTTGTCTAACAGGCTTATGCAGTGTATATGAATCATTAAAATAGAACCGCTGTTTAATAGTATCTATATTTTCTTTACCATCAAAAGGAGGATGTAATGCATCAATGCCGCTGAAACTAGCTGGTTGTTTAGGATCTTTATAAAACACTTCCATGTTAACGAAACAAAGTTTGAAGTTTAACTGAAAAATACAACGTGTGTTTATTGTTTTGTTATAAAAATATATATAGAAATAAACAGAGTTATAAAGAAAATAATAAAATTTTTATTTATGTTTAGCTTGTGCAAAAGCCAATTCTAGCAATTTGAAGCATTTCTACAAGATCAATGGATTCTAGGAAATTATCGGTTTGCGCGTTGCGTTCATGGCGTGTTCTGTTTTACAGTATCATAAAATCTTTTAAGAATTTCATTAGATTTGATGTTCATAGCAATAGCTTGCATATTTCGGTCCGTAAGAGGTGTTTTAAAGTTTTCGATGATAGTTTCGTCCTCTTGAAGAGTTCACCCTGTCGAACCTGGCATCGTCGAACATCTTTTTAAAGTCATAAACACTAAGTCCAGCAAAAATTCAGAGAGTTAAAATGTTTTGTTCCATTGGGAATCATTTAGGGTTACACTCATCGTAAACGTGTTTCCATTTCGACAAGTACCAATTTTGTTGAATGTGGTTCTTCCAAATTCAGTCATCACAATATTTTGCCACTTATCCCTGTCTTAAACGCCTACACTTCTGTATTTCAGACCACATATAGTCACTGACAAGTTTATATAGTGTTCGTAAAGTGGGGGATCTTTTCTTTTCAGTCGATTTTTCTTTCAGAAATGAACTGTTTATTAAATTAATAAACTGGTAAGGTGTTAGAGTGGTTCCTTCTTCAGATGGATAAAACTTAGATCTATATTTCTCGTACCGTCTCCCGTTAACCAGAAGTCGATTGCTGTAAATAAAACTGAAACGAAAACATCTTTTCGACTGTCCTAAACATAGTAGATAGAATCTCGCTTTTGAGAAAAGAACCATGGTAATTCTATAATAGAATAAAACCTAATAGGTTATGAAGTATTAAACTTTAAATACAATTCATCAAAGAATGCTTAATCCATCAGCTTTTCTTTCAAGTTATTTTTTACTTCAAATTAAATACAGGTAAGACCAAAATTTATTTTGATAATTTGAGTGAGAGCTTCAGTTTTTATGCCATAGATAATAACCCAGAGTGCGTTGCGACGTTAACTTATTTCTGATTGTTAAAAATTATATGATGTTATTGAATACTCTTTCCTGATTGGTTCAATGGTGATCATAGCAATTCTAGCGGTAAACTTTGAAAACAGAAAATGAAGTACCTGTAGCGAGGAAAAACCTTTCCCCGAAATGTAGGATTCAACTTGATGTATCTCGTAAGCCATGATGATGGCTCACCTGATGAAGGGAATTATTGACAGGTTTATCCAAGTGATAAAATATTTTTAAAAGTAATATTTTCAGTTTTATTAAAGTGTAAAGTCAATTAAAAAAAAGAAATAAAATAATAATTAAAAAATATTATTAAAAAATATCATCTGTTTTAAAGTGTAAAGTCAATTTAAAAAAAAATAAAATAATAATAATAATTTAAAAAATATTATTAAAAATAATTAAATTTTTTATAAAAAGAACCAAAACGGTAAAATATTCTATTCCTCCAAATCAGAAAAAATACACTCTTTCTTTAAAATAGCTAAAAATTCAAAATCTTATCATATCTTCTCACATAGTTAGTAAATCCAGAGGAACCCCGATTAAGAGGGAAAAAATACACAAAATTAAGCACTCTGTTATAACTGACAATGCCACGAAAAGCCTTAAAGTCATTGAAAAGCCTTGTTTCCGGACTGTCAATTACTGCTGTTCAAAACAGTACAGAGTTAGCTACATGAAATATTGACTTGCAAGTTAATATGGCTTTTGTCATAACGGGTTGGGTAATAACATTTAATTAATACAAATTACATTGAAATTAGAAACTCCAATTATTCCCTTTCAGATTGGAAAATGCAAAAGATAATCAAGAGGAGGAGGCGGAAGGTTGGCAGAGAGTATTGAATAAACTAGAAGCAAAGTTTTCTGATGAAAAACAAGAAAGCGAAAACATAGAGATTCCAGATGGTGAAAGACTGGCAAATGGTATGATAAAGAAAGAGAGCATGGAAAATGAGACGGTTAAGAGCGTAGGCCTTGAAAATGTTATGAATGTGGGAGATTCAATAAGTTCAACAATGGAAAACGAAAAGTAAATATACTTCAATAAACATATTTCAATCTAGGGTTGCACTTTAAAAAGGGGCAATACACTTAGGAGTGGACAATTTTCAGAATGAACAATTTAAAAAAATCATTTACTAACGTGAAAACTAAACTTGATTTCTTGTACCAAATTTAAAAAATTAATTTCTAAGTAGTATCTTGTAGCGTTAAATGCGTATTTAAAAAAAATTTAAAACTTAAAATAAAAGTCTATGGTGCTATTTTTACAAAATGACACTAGTTGGAAATATGGAAATATTTATGTCCAAAAACCATAGGTTTCACAAAACAAATGTATAAAATTAAAACTATTTTCTAAACAACTCCTTACTAATGTTTAAAATTGTATTTACTTTTTCATTGAAAAAGTCGAGATCCAACAACCGTGACCGAAAAAAATTACAGATTAAATCTAAAGCGTGTTTGAAATGATTTTAAGAATGACTTTTGTAGAAACTATTTATGCTCAAAACTATAGGTATCCTTACATGGTACAAATGTAAAAAATTAGTTTCTGAAGTGCTTTTTGTTATAAAAATACTTAGTTATATTATAAAAAAATTCAATATTTAACTGCCATAAAAGGACAATATTAAACCTCAAATCAAAAACGTGTATGGCATTCAGTCATTCTTTTTATATTATGAATTTTTAGAAATTATTTATTCCCTAACAGTTTATAGGTTTTGCAGAGTATTAAATTAATTTCTAAATTGACTTTGTTATGTGAAAAATTTCAATTCGATTTTCTCCGGAAAATTCTCCAGATACGACAGTCATGTTTAGGAAAATTTAAGGTTCAATATTAAAGTATTTGGTGTCATTTTACAGTATGATTTTGACTTTTTTTTACCTAAAGAATAAAGGCTTTTCTCTGTAAATTTATAAAATGAATTTCTAAAGTGTTCTCTGTAATAAAAAAAATTACAATTATATCGAAAAATTCAATATTCATCTGCCATAATTAGAAAATATTAAAGCTCAAATCAAGAAAGTATATTACATCCATTTTATACGACTTTTGTTGAAACTATAGATCTCCCGACAGTTCAGGCTTTGCGGAGTACAATTCTGAAATTAATTTTTAAATTAGCTTTATTAATGTGTAAAATTTCAGTTACATTTTCATCGAGAAATTCACGATTCGACTAACATGACGAAAATCTAAAGCTCAAAATTAAAATTAAATTTGCAAAATTAATTTCTAAGCCACTTTTTCGAACACTAAACTGCTACCTACATTTTGACCCAGTAACCCAAATTTCTTAAGGTACAGCTAAAATAACAAAAGCATTACTACAAACTATATATGGCAATCATTATTTTAGAATATACTTCATAAATACTATTTGTCTTTAAATGTATACCGAGACATGTGATACATTAAACAAATGTCGCATAGTAAAATTGTACCAAACATTTTGTTTCGATTATACGCGAATGTCAGAAACAATCGAATGTCATAAAAAACCCAAAATTTGTAGCCATAGATGCTATGATTTCGGTTCTAAAAAGGTGTTTCACACTTTGAATTCAAGTGTTACTATAATGGCAGTGTAGTTAGCTAAATATCAAGTTTTTGCTCAAAATAAAAAAAAAACATTTAACGTCACAAGGAATAACATAAAAAAGGATTCTACAAGCTTGGATAATCTTAGGTAAGGGGTCAATGTTTGTGACTAGCTATTTTGGCTGTTTTTAAATCAGCAAAAATATGCTTACATTGTATTTGAAAGTGGTTTTATCAGATGCATTAAAAAACGATTCTGATTAGCTGTCCTGTTTTTATGAGGGGGGGGGGAGAGCTACGATTGTCAGGCGCAAATAGGCAGAAATTATTAGTGTACATCTGAATATTTTGTAGAAACGGTGATAATTAGTAAATGCAAAAGCAGGTAGTAGGCGTTTACCTTTATTAATACAACGTGAGATTGTTTTTTTTTAATTATTATTTTATTTTAGTTTATATATTAGATTTCGTATACGTGGCCATGATTGAAAACAATCGATAAATAAATATTAGCTTATTTAGGGCAACTAACTTTAAAAGGAAAAAAAAACCCAAAGAAATTAATAGTAAAATATTTCATTACTAACCTAAATTAGGAAAAAATAAATAGGTAATGTAACTGTAGCAACCGAGACTTATCAGTAGTTTGTATGCTCATTTTATAACATATAGATAGTTTTATCTGAATTTCGATTCAGATTTATTTTTAAATAGTAAAGTTAAAAAAAAAATAATAATAATATTCTGAATTATACATTATCTTCTAATACTACTAACATTCTGCCGAATTCTGTATTCCTACATTTGTATAGGTTAAAAGAAATATGTATGTTAATGTCTTCTTCTCATGATTGAATTGGAATGACGAATTTTTCAAAAATATTTCTTAAGTTATTAGACTAACGTGTATTTACAAAGCTACAGCACGGAAAAGCATCCCCCCCCTTTTTTTTTTATTTCTGCCCTTTAATTAACGCAAGAAACACTGAAATATCTATATTGCCCAAAAGCAGTCAAAATGACTGCATTGTGAAAAAATAACTAATGTATAAAGAAATTTATTTAAAATTAATTTTTAATAGTTTGATATTATTTTCAGTTATATAATAAGTTATTAGAAAATATTAACAATAAAAAAATTATATGTTAAACAAAAAGTCACAAAATTCTAAGGAAATTGTGTCATCATTGTTTTTCTAATAGAAATTAAAAAGCAGTCAAAATGACTTCCTTGGACAATCTAGTGTTAATAGCTTGAACTTAAAAAGTCATTCCTCTAGGTTGTTTGAAGAAAAGAAAAGATATTTATGGACGATAATCGGCTTAATATTTCAGTTAATAAGAAAAATCCTGCGTAAAAAAATCTGTACAAAACCTTTAAAAAATGTCCGTACTTTACAGGTTTCTTAAAGAATGATTAAGTTTTTTTTAAAGCATTAAAAAACTTAAGTGTTCCTACATCTGCCAATAAGACGATTTAAAGATTATATGTAAAGTTTTTAAAGCACATTTTAATTGCGTAAATTTTTATGCAGAAATATGATACCTTTATTTTTTACTTACCTGCAGTGATTTTACAGGTTTCATGAAGGATTTTGTAAGTTATCTGAAACCTTTATTTTTACCTGCAAAAACCTTTTTCTAAGCATTTTTTTTTCTTACTTACTCTGATACAATTAAATTAAATGTGCTCAATTTAGAGGCGTTTTCTTTCTTTCTTCCTTTTTTTTTCTAATTGTTTAAACTTTTAGAGTTTTTCTTCAGCATGATTTGGCATTTTTATCAATTCACATAAAGCCATAAAGAATAGTTTTTCATAGTTACTCAAATTATATTATTAAATATTTTACGATTTACAAAATGTGTTTCATTTTTAGAGCCAAAAATATAGTTCACACAGAAAGTTATTGGCTAGCTCATAAAGCTTAGTTAGCCACTCATTGCTTGTCCAATTTTGTGCATATTTTACATAATGTGCACTAAATTAGATAATCCGTAGGCAACAAATTTAGTATTTTTTAAAATTTATTTGGAAAAATTCCTACACTTTACCTTTTAAAATGCATCGCGATGAGGATTATCTTTTCACGAGCAGATTTACTACCACTTTTACTTTTGGAATGTGTCTGATTTTCGCCATTTCTCTTCCGCGATGAAGTTCAAACTAGTTTTCTTCCGCAGCTACTGTTTTAGATTGGCGGTGGCGCGGAACAATTTAGCCAATCTTGGCGCCAGAAATTATTTTCGACCCAATGGCAAACCTAGAATCGTTCTTGTTCACAGCTTTACAGCGGTAGCACTAGCGTTGTTGTTAGGTTGTTAATTTTTATAAGTTTTATTTTAATCACTGTAAATGAAATAAATGAATGAAAAGTTCTTGTAAAGAACTGTGAAGTATTCGTTTTTGCGGAAGAAGATATAAAAGGTAAAATCTAGTTTTTCTAAATATGGCGGCTTGTCACGTGGTCATTTTTGCTGTTGCCATTGCGATAGAAATATATGATGAATATCTTTGCTTATGATGAAATTTAGAATCATATGCTAATCAAAGCCCAGTCCCAGAACTATGAAATCAATTTGTTAATCGATTGGTATAAGATAAAATCTTAAAATTTTATTAAATTCATTTAAAAAAAAAAGCCGTTAATATTTAGTGACAAGAAGGGCGAGAAACTGAACTTCTTATAGTATAATTTATGACTGCCGATAAATGACTTTTTTACTTACTAGTATAGTTATAATGTGCATCCCTGTAATCTTATATGTGAAAATTGAACTTCCAGTTCCTCGACACCACGTAGACTTAGTGATCTTTGCGCTTTATCCCTCTGTTTTTTTTCTTTCTTTTTGCGTCACACATAGTTTTTAGCACCCTCTGATTTTATTATCTTGTGTTCTCATTATTGTAATTAAATGATTTTTAACTTGAGTTCGGCCCAGCTTTATCGCATTGGCCTCCCGTGCCTGTACATTCCATAATTTTAAGTTTGACTCAATCTCAGAAGACAAAGACACTCCTGAGTATTTGCACCAATTCGCTTTTATGGCAGTCCTTCTAGGTAAAAATAAACATTCAACCGGTGTTTTGTGTTTTAGAAAAGAAAAAAAACACGGAAATCTCTCACGGTTAGCCCAGAACGTATTCACCAGTCATAAATAGAGTTAGAAAGCAGAATAGCTTTGATGCAGTGAGATAGAGGATAGTTTTGGAGAGGTTGTTTACGATCCTTATGTAAATAGTTATCATGTATATAATCGACATGAAAAAAAAAAAAAAACTCATGGTATAGATAATTATGGGTTCCATTTTCCCGACGAGCCCTAGTGATCTTTTCTCTGTAGAGTTTTTGCTTATGCGTAAGTTTTTGGTATAAGTAGATTTTTTTCTTTATTTTTAGTAAGCATTTTCGGTCTGTATTTACTTTGAGTTTAGCGCAGTATAATCGCATCACTCTTGCGTTATTTAATAGTTGTAC